TCTCCCGGCCGCCCGCTTCCCCTCCTCCTCTCGGCCTTCGTGTCTGGCGTTCCCTCCCTCTTCCGCCTGCCCTCTCTCTTCTCCTCTCGGCCGCCACCCCTCTCACACCTCTCCTCTCCCTCCTTCTCCCGGCCGCCCCCTTCCCCTCCTCCTCTCGGCCTTCACGTCTGGCGTTCCCTCCCTCTTCCGCCTGCCCTCTCTCTTCTCTCAGCCGCCACCCTTCTCAACCGCCTGCCCTCTCCCTCCTCCTCTCGGCCGTCGCGTCTGCGCCGCGCACCGCTCCGGGATGCCGCCGCCGCCACCGAGCGCTGACCACCAGTCGCCGTTACGGGGTTAACGAACGTCGACCAAGGTCAGCGTGACCTGGCGTGCAGCGCAGGCGCCTCGTCTGGACGGCGCTCGGTGTCCGGAGGAGGCGCGCGGTGTCCGGGCACTGCGCCTGACGTCTGGACGGCGCTCGGTGACCGGAGGAAGTGCGCGGTGTCCGGGCACTGTGCCCGGTGTCTGGCCGGCGCTCTGTGTCTGAAAGAAGTGCTCTGCGTCAGGACAGCACGCTCAGTGTCTGAACAGGGCGTCTGGTGCTCTCCTTATCAAACTGAGGCTTGGCCGAGTGGCTTCGACCACACACCACGACATCTCACCGATCACAGTGTGACTGGCTGCCATCCGTTGGAAAGGTGCCATGGACCATATAAGGCCATGCTCATTTTTGCGATGGATGCAACCGGTTGTCAGCGGATCAATAAGAACTTCGTGAATATAGATTTGGATTCTCAACTATCTGGCTAGATTTTCAACTATCTGGTTCTTACGGGCTTCACATGATGGTAAACACATAAAAAGGTCACGTGGTTCTCCCTCCCATAATCTTTTCCTCTTTTCTCTTCTCTCTCCCCCCCTCTCTCTCTCTCTCTTTCTCTCTCTCTCTCTCCCTCTCTCTCTCTCTCTCCTCTCTCTCTCTCTCTCTCTCTCTCTCTTCTCTTCTCTCTCTCTCTCTCTCTCTCTCTCTCTCTCTCTCTCTCTCTCTCTCTCTCTCTCTCTCTCTCTCTCTCTCTCTCTCTCTCTCTCTCTCTCTCTCTCTCGTTCTCTCTCTTAACATCTCTCTTTAGCTCCCTCTCTTTACCCCTCCCTTCCTCCCTCTCCGCCTCCCACCTGCCCCCTCCCCCCCCATCTCCGTGTCCCGCCCCCTCCTCCCCCGCGCGATGTTCCTCTGTGAGACCAGGTCCGACGGCTGACAAAGCAGCGGCCTTCGCTGGCCGTTTCACCCGTGTATCACTTGCCGGCCGTGGAGCCTTGCGGGACCTCCTGCGCAGCTAGTCTGCGGCAGAGGCCCGGACCCGCGCAGGCAGCCGCCGCCCGACGCCGCCCAGAGCCGAGAGAAAGGTATACCACCGCTACACTGCGTGCTGGCACCGGCCGGCGGCCGCTCTGATGGCGCTCCATCCGAGGGGCGGGGCGACGCGGGACGTTTCGTTTTTGGACCAGCACCGGTGTCGTGCTTCCTAGAAGTTAACCAGGGACATTTTCCCAGATACAGGGCATGTCAAGGGTTTTAAGTGAAATTTGGATGCCGATCTGAACAACTGAGCTGCTATATTTTAAGGAACATAGGCTTCCCTACCCAGCTACTGCTGGGCACATGTGAAACGCTGTGTTATATTGGGTCCAGTCAAAGTTGCGACGTTACATAATATTGCATAAAACGGCAAAATCATTGCCGGTTTTGCGTCGAATGTCCTGTTTATTAAGGAAGTAAAGCTTTCGGTTTGATGTGATCCAGCGAACGAATCAGAAGCATTGCATCACGTTGCTGATCAGATCTCGGCTGTTTGGTGCGCGGCGACTTCGACACGCGCTGCAAAGTGTGCGTCACTTCTTTGTATACGGCAGTGCACCGGTGCCACAGGCCTTTTCCCGGCATAATCTGGCGTGCACGGCGTTTGGGAGGACTCTGGTACTTAAATCTGATATGGAGAATTATGCATGGCATGGGTAATCCTTCCTTGCTTTCCTAGTTGCCTTGTTGAGCTTGAAATTAATCTCATGCATACGGATTTGCATTCGTCGAGCAAGGACTTTTGGCATAGGACCAGATTGTGTCCTGCTGGCCTTGCGCCCTCACTCTGTTCCTGTCGGCTGCCCTCTGCTCTAGAGCTATGGAGCACGTCAGCTGTCTGGCTGCTTGAGTGATCCCTGCCATGGCCTCTCAATGGTCCATAACATTAGGCCCGCTTGTACCATCCGCTGTTTTAGCTCTGTCTGGCCTGCCCGCTGACCCTGAGCTGCCCTGGCGCTGACCCTTTAAAGTCGGGCTGCCGACAAATCCTATTCCGTCCGTTCGCTGGGCCCTGTCTGGCCTGCCCGCTGACCCTGAGCTGCCCTGTGGACTTATCCTTTAAAGTCGGGCTGCCGGTGCGACCCTGTTCGGTTCGCTGACTGGATAATATCACGTGCCATCCGCCGACCCAATCCCGTCCTATCAGCCGGACGCGCTCTGTTCGCTCTACTGACCAGTCCTCTCCTGCCCTCCGACCTGACCCTCTTCTGGATCTGACCTGCCCCCTCTCCTGCC